GTCTTGGGTGAAGTATATGAGGATGTGTTAGGAGGGTGATCTTGGGTGATGGAAATGAGCAACAAAATGTCTTAGAATGGCAAAGATGGGTTTGTTAGCAACTTACATCTTCGGAGGCAAATACTTGTATCTTCCACTTATATCTTCATCAGTTTGCATTCTGTGAATTTTCTGTGTGATATGAGGAGAGAGATGATTTAGAATTTGGATCTCATGCCCAACTTCTGCCTTAGTTTCTTGCCAAGTAACTTGTACTTTATGACTAGCTGGACCTTGTCTCAGCTGCAGTAAAGTTATTCAGGACTAAGGTGTTGTGCCTTGGGCTCTGTGGCATGCAGTTCTGTGCATACAACAGTAGCACAAGAGCCTGAGATGTAGTTCAGTCCAAACTCGTAAGAGTCATGCTACGCATCCCCCAATGAGTGTCAAAACTCTTCTGTAGGGCTCACTCCACGACATCCTGGAGATGCGTGTGTATCCCATTTTTCTTTGTGTTATACACAGTAAAGCCACCATTGGAGGCCACCAGAGTTCTCTCCATCCATTACCAAATAATAAGCATTTTAGCGGTGAAAATGAAGAGAGAAGGAGCTAGAACAGATACATCCGTCAAAAGATATCTTTCCAATGTTCTGGCAAATTGCTCCAACACTGTCATGAGAAAAAGGTGTGAAGAGAAGCTTTAGGGGTGATTTATCTATTAAACAGGGTGGTTTAAGAATGCGGCAAATTAATTTGTCTCATCATAATACCGATATTATATTTTTAATATCAAATACATTACTTGTTTGTTGATAAGTTTTTATTCAGTCCAGATAGTCTACCTTGCAGTCATTTGTAATTCCTAGATAATGTAATATCTGGAAATAATAAGAGTTAGAAAGCAATCACTTAATGCCACTATGCCTACTTATACCTACTTCAAATTGTATTTCCATATATGCTGAAAAAGTTTTTAAGACATGTAAAGTGGAAAAAATTTCCTTTATTGATTTGTGGCTAAAAGAAGTGGCAGAATGACATAGTTGAAAACAACAAATACTGTGTATATCATTAATGCTTTCCTTCAGCATTGGCAGTGTTGAAAGCTTTAATTTAAAAACTTGTTTTGAATAAGTTTAAAGACACACTTTTTGTTTTCTGTCTAGGATTTAGAAGAATTCTGCTTTAAGTTTTGTGTTAATCACTTGACTGAAGTCACCCAGACAGCTGCCTTTTGGCAAATGGATGGTTCTCTGCTAAAGGAATTCATTGCTAAAGCCAGTAAATATGGAGCCTTTAAGAACTGAGAGGTGTAACTGCCTGTTTTGGACGTTATGGCCACAGCTGATGTGATTTCATGCCTTTTTCTCATATGTCCAGTTAATTATATCACCTGCAGTATCAAAAAAACGTGCCCAACAGCTGTACTTTTGGAGGAATTCCAAATTAAGCAGCAAACACTTTATTTGGATTTTGTTACTCTAGAGAGCTGGACCTATTTAACTGTTCTAAGTAACTCTGTACAGGAGAGAATCAGAAGAATGATGGAGTGGGTAGAAGTAACCAAAGATAATGTCAGAAATTGTTGTCTGAAATGGCTTGTTTGCGATGACATTGTGGTACCTCTTATTCTTTTGAAGCACTCTCATGGAAATGGGAAGCAAAATATCTTACATGGAATAATGGGAGTGTTGAAAAAGGAAGCATCTTGTGCATATATTTTTATTTATTGATTTTGTCATTCCTTCATATATATATGAATGAAGTTTGCATCCCTGTCATTTGAAAAGAACTTGGTCAGTGAAACAATGCTGCATTCCTCTATCCACCTACCTAGGAGTAAGCCTCATTGAATTCAGTGGGATGTAATAGATTTGCACTGTAAGTACATTGAGATATACAATTTTAACTTTGAAACGTTGAAGAACCAACTAGTCTTTCATAATAAAATTGGAATTATTGCTTCTGTACTTCCTTTGATGCTAGTCATCTTTGGAGGAAAATTAAATGTTGCTCTATTTTGCAGACTTCAGTTGTTCAGAGCAGATGACTCGGAAATGTTTTGCACTGCAATTATGTATAAACTATATAATAAAATGGGTGTCTGCCTATTGAGAGTTCTACATTTATCTATTAAAATTGTGCATGAAATTACCTTTATATAAGGACTCTGGTATTCTGGGTGGGACTGAAAGGGTTCTGTGCTGCTTTTTCACCAAAAAAAAAAAAAAAATGAAATTAGGTAATTATTTGTGCAGCATTTCTGGAAAAAAAGGTGAATAAATGGAGAAAGTCTTTAATCAAATCTACCGGAGTATTTGCTATTAGAGAAGTCTGATCTTTCACATCTGGTATCTGACCAGAGTTATGCTTTCCTCCTCCTTGGAGTCACTGATGCTTGACTCTGACTTGGGTGCTGTTTATTTACTGTTGGATTACTGAATTCAATTCTTGCATGAATAAGCTTGCTGTTAAGGAAAGATCGGGATTTCCCCCCACATTCCTCGTACCTTGCCAGAATCAGGTGAGCTGGAAGGATCCTTAAAGGCCTGTCCTGTGCTGCTTCAGTACGTCTGTTGCCAGAGATTTCTGTTAATCACCCTGTTTAAAAACCTCTACTGTATTGGAATTAGCTCATCTGCTTCTAAGGCCGCTATCTGCCTCTTTTAATATCTGAAGCTTCTTATGCTCTTGTGGAGAACAAATTGGCTATTTTAGTACCTAATATGGTGATCACCGAGCTGCTTAATCTCTGGTTAGCCATACCAAGGAGATTTTCCTTATTTGCAGGAGGAAATCTGTATTGCTGTATCACTTCCATTACTGTTGTCCTTCTCTGAACTTAGCCTGATTTGCCCATCTTAAAACTGCAGTGTCCAGAATTAGGTCATACTTCAGGAGAAGTTGCATTAAAGCCAAACGGGGCTACCACTTTTTCTCTTGAAGCTACCTAACATTCAGTAGTCTTTTAAACCATTGCACTGTCTTATAATTGTTGTTTAATAAGGTGCTTTGCGCCCTGGAGAAAAGTGGGTGATGGAGGGACTGGCTATATACTAGTGCTGGGCTCTGACCCACCTGTTGCTCAGCCCAATGAAATCAGCCTCTGTGGGTAGTTACACCTCTTAAGCGTGCCAGTGGTTTGGAGGCTGAACCACAGCAATGTTGCTATCAGTTTTGAAGAAATTCTCCAAAGCGCGTCAATATTCTGTCTTGGATAAAAATGATGCCAGAAAAAGAGAGGTTGAGAAAGCAAGACAGTTCTTGGCAAAGTCTATTCAGAGCTAGATAGGAACGTAATGGGGAGAGAGGGAGGTATGCTCTCTTCTCATTATGTTTCTATCTAGCTCTGAATAGGTATGCTCCCTCCCACTTTAGTCCTTGTTGCAAATTTGCCTACATCCCAGTTTTTAGGAGACCCTCTTAAAGTGTAGGGAAAAGATGAAATACCTTGCCTGTTAGGCATCACTTGTGGTTCATGATTTTGAAAGTGCAAATTTTTGAATAGGACCATTTTATTATTTCCTTTATCGCTATGGTTTGTTTAATGATTATGCTATTCTGTGATGCCCAATAGTTTAATTTGAATCACAGTACAAATTTTAAAGTGTTTTGGTAAATCATTCATGTTTACTTACAAAATGATCCACATCTTAAATTCTGCAAGAGGTATGTAAACGTATGAGCACAACTGTATATGTTTAAGTAATTATACATTATTAGAAAATACTTTTTATTAGACTTTTATTTACAGTTAAGTAATGAAACAATTTGGAAAATTCTTTAAAACACAAAGTTTAAGTGGCTGATTTGCTGAAGTGTTTTACATGATGAGAAACAAGCTCCTTTCTGTAGATTGGCCTCATCAGCAGAGTTACCACCATCTAAATATGTATATAAGTATATACACAATCCATCCAGTAAAACTTCATGCAGGAAGAGCAGTTTTTGGGGGAAGTTAAGTGAGTGTATTCCACAATGTTGAAGATCAGAGCTAATGAGTCTAGACTGCAAAAACCTGGATGACCATTGTTTGTTTATTGTATTTGTATGCTGCCAAATTGAACCAACTCTCAGCCATTTACAGTACAGATAAAATTAGAAAAATGCAATACAATCAGAAAAAATATGAAACCATCTAACAGAATAGCCCACAAAAGAATAATAATGGATTTTTTAATTCCATGGTTTACTTCATTAAAAAAGAATAAAAGGCGCAAGAAAGCAAAAAAGAAAGCAAAAATAGAAAAAGGGAAAAAACCCTTTAAAAAAAACTTCCCACCCTCATCACAAGTATAAACAATTTCACTATCTCTTCACCTCCTCTTAATTAACAGATATAAAACTCTTCATCCTTTAATTCAGCTCCTAACCATAGGCGAGTCTAATAAACAATGTCTTTTCCAACCCACATGTCAGCAAAAAGTCCAAACAGAGCCCTAAAATATAACATAAATTAACAAATGTAAACCTCATCATTCCATATCTCAACTCTTAACTATAAGCAAATTCACATTTAGAAAGCATAAGATGGTCCCAGTAATCTAATATGAACAAAAGACTACAATTTAACATGACAAAGAGGAACAATTTGTCTTTTAAAGAAAACAAACACACAAAAATCACTTTATTTAAGTGAAAGGACAATTAGATATAAAGCCAATTTAGATGATGTTAGATTGGGATACATAAAGTGATTGAGGGGAAAGAGGCTTAAACACCATGTTAACTGTAGGCAAATCTAATACATTTTTTTAGTCCAGATGTCAGCAAGTCCGAAAAGAACTGCCCAAAATAACTACATGTTCCATTTTAACCCTGATCAGATAAACCAACTTTGTTTCTTTTTATATAAAACAATCTTGCTCTTTAATCCACTCAGATGATTATTGATCCTTGTCTCGAATTTCTTCAAAATTTTAACAAGCCTCTTTTGTAAGTCCAGCAAGAAAACTCTTCCAATTGCTCTCTGGGATTAGCATTTTTATTTCCTTATTAATATTTAAGGCCTGATCTGATTTTTTTTTTATGTCTAATGACAAATTCTTGTTCATGTTGTTCTCAGATAGGTCTTATTGCAAATCTTTCTCTTTAACAGCTTCTCTTGGGAACAGAGTTCCTAAGAACACACAACACAGCTGACATTATTGATTCAAGGTCCCTATGCTATTCCTCAAAAATGTCTCTAAACACCATTATAAGTTATGTCTCCAATATAAAAAATAATTTTTCCTTCCCACAAAAATGTATTTATTTAAAATTAATTTCAAAGTCTTAATATTCAAAAAATATTCCGTTTTCTGAGCCCTTAGTCCATTTAAAACTTTCTATAGCCAAAACCTTGTCTTGCTTTCTGTTTATTTTAAATTTTTAAAGCTTATAAAGATACACTTCCATTTTCTTATATTAAGGGTTGAAGGCACTCACCCGAAGAAGTTTGAAGGTGTCTAACTTCTTTAAAGCAATTAATAAGCGGTTTCCAGAAGTGATTAGCAAAGGAAGTGTGAACTTAGCGTCTTTGAAAGGCTTTGACTGCGGCTGGAGCAAGAATAGCAACTTCCCTCATCTCCTGGTTTTCCCACCCTCCAGAGACTGCTGCCTTGCGGTCTCCTTGTGAGGAGCAACCATATTGAGCACATCCTGGGCAATCTCACATCCTCTCTGTCAGAGAGGGTCAAAGGAGCCGATCTACTCATCAGTTCCTTGTTCTTTACCACAATTGTTGGCTCTGCTATTCCTCCCCAGAAGTCAAAAACCTGGATAACCATTAAGGGCAGCAAAGCATTGTTTTTTTCTGTCTTTCTTTGCTGTCCTCTAGTGATCATCCTGATTTGTTATAACCCAGATCTGGTAGCCCTACTCTAAGATAACCACAAGGGCAACTTAGAGTGGTGTATTAATAGTTCCGTCTGCAAATGAAGTGCATATGATGAATTCATTCACTTTCTTCCATGAATTTTCATCTAATAGAAGGGATTTGAAGCATGATCTTGGAAGTGTACATTCTAATTTAAAACAAATGGTAAAAAGTACATCGGCTAGAACAAAAACGTCTCAACTGTAAAAATGAGAAAACGGCAGTTATCACAAAGTTGATGTGTAAAAGTCAATTTTATACAAAAATGAAGTGAGAGAAATCAATGAACATTATAGAACGTGGTAGGTTATTCAGAGACATTACTAGATGTGCTAGCTGAGTTTTCTGAGACAGGAAGTACTGTTTCTTTGAAATTTTTTAAATGTTCAATCTGGGCATCCAGTCTTTCCCGTGTATTCATTAGTTCCTGAATTTTTTTCTCTTTTCCTGTATAAATTAAAATCAATGCTTAAGATTAGCAACATAGGCAGAGATGTCTCAAAAAGTTTTATTTATGCCAGACAAGTTACTATTAAAGTATAGGAAATCCTTGCTTAATGACCACAATAGGGACCAGAAAGTTCGTTGTTAAGTGGGCCAGTTGTTAAGCAAGTTGCGCCCGATTTTATAACCTTTTTTGCAGCGGTCATTAAGTGAATCACCATGGCCATTAAGTGAATCACATGGCCATTAAGCAAATGACGCTGTTCCTCACTGATTTTGCTTGCCAGAAGCCAGCTGGGAAGGTCATAAATGGTAATCACATGACCCCAGGACACTGCAACCATCGTAAGTGCGAGCTGGTTGCCAAGTGCCCAGATCACGATCACATGACCATGGGGGTGCTGTGACAGTTTTAAGTGCGAGGACTGATTGCAAGTTTCTTTGTTCAGCACCGTTGTAACTTCAAATGGTCACTAAGCAAATGGTTGTTAAGTGAGGACTAGCTATATATGGATTAGGAGAGCAATACCAGGTTGGGGAAACAGAAGGGCCACAGTCCTTCAAGGAAAATGTCAATTATTGCATCTTAGGGTGGGCAATGGTGGGGGCTATCTATTACTTTTGCCAGCCCTTCTCATTCCTCTATTGCCTTTTCTTTCTTTCCTTTTTCTATCTGCCAAAATAGAAACAACAAAACCCACAAACTTGTTGTGAAAAAATATTGAAGCATAACTAGTGTGTAAAAGAGATGGTAACTCTCAAAGAATAGCAACCAGACCCACTTTAAGCAGAGAAGCAGGGTACTGATAGCTCTTTCCCCACTCCAGAATGGGATAGCCAGCAGCTCAAAAATATTTAGTTCCACAGAAGTCACATACAAGTCAGTTTAAGACTGCAGGTGAAGTGAACTAGATGGAATTGGCACAAGGCATCAGCATTAATTTGCCATAGAACAGTCCCCATCCTTTGTTAAAGCAGACAAAGCAATACGATGAAACCTTGTTTTACTGGATCATTTAGGTGGATGAAGTGTCCATTAACTCCAAATGTCTGTACTAAAAGATAATACTACATTTTTTTCTGTACTTATCTGTATTCTTAACTAGTTTAAAAGGCCTTGGTTCTAGAAATGATAATTAGAGTTGTTATATTTTGTTTCATACATACCAGAATGAGCAGCTGTAAGAATATTTTCAAAGAGACCACCGTCAAGAAGTGAGCTGACTGTTTCTTCATACTCTAAGGATAGACAGAATAATGCTGATACTTCTTCACAAGCACAAACTTCTTTTAAAACATGCATAAGGAAAATGATCAGAAGTATTTTTTAAAATCACTTATCTTTTTTTATCAATACCATACCCAAAGTTGCATCTAAATTCCAAACACTAACTCATTTCTTTCAAAACTATTATGAAAGAAACCTCACACAGCAAGGGGCTTTTAAAAAAGTTTATAAATATTTATTGAAAATTTACATTGTAAACAATGGAGAAAAGTAGAATAGAAACTTAATTCATTTGTTCCTTAAACGTAAATTCATTAGTTCTTATAAGTGTTGGAATTTCAAAGGATTACATTTTAGGTGTACTCATACAAATCCTTAAATAAAATGTGTCTTTAAATAATGGTACATGGAAAACACTTTTAAGGCAACTCAAATAAGAAATAAGATTAAAGCAATTTTAATGGAACATATGCAACATGTTAAAAACAGCAACACAAAAATATCAATTCTAGACCAACAATTCTTAGAATGTGTAATTTAGAATACTATGCTTTAAAAAACCCAGTTTGTCTGTATTAAGCTCTTTAAGGATATAACAGGTAAGGCAGCTAAATAGGGCCATGTGAACGTTCTGTGGAATTCTGCTGATATTTGAAGCCGCTCTGGCCTCATCAATCTGATCTTAATCAGTCCCATGAGCAAGTTCTATATATCTAATACAGGAGCCTGGATAAGTTGATTTATGCACAAGTCATTCCTCAAATTAACTGGTTCCAAACAATAAATTAGGACATTAGTGAATTGTCTAAATACTTGTATAATAGCTGAATGTATTTAAGATAATTGTTGTAGTTGCTGATTTGTTAACTTTGTCTAGAACTCATGGAGCAATGTGTTTAAGACAGCAGTAGATTCTCTTTTCATTTAACTTTTTAATTTAAAATAAATTTAATTTAATATAAATATATTTA